TGTTTCATACGTCGCATCTCGCATGCAGATAATTCAAACAATTGTATTCGACACATGCAAAATGCGACGTTTGAAACAGGCCTTAGACTCTAGTCGGTTTTAAAGTATGTACACAGAATGATTTTTTCGTGTACATAATATTCTTAGGTTCGAATTCAAATTCCTTTGAAGGTGTGCTTGAGGTAATAAACTTGCATGTATACAAAATTGAATTCTGCGTAGAATATGCATGAAACCCGTATTTTATTGTAACACAAAGTGCACGGTTTAAGTAACAGATATGGTAAAATCAGCACACTTACTTTCTCCTTGAGGCACTTCTTAAACCACAAAGAAGAGATGAAAAAGAAGTATTTTGCGAATAAGCGCTGTTAGCGACCAAAATATGACAACAATGTATAGTCCAAACAGACAGATACCGCGGAAAACAATCGCTATCGCTGAGGAATACACGTACACTCACTCAAGTCGGTGTCTACCAAGTTCATGCCCCGCTAATTTTTATCATCACTGTGAAGTTAGCTGTGGATTCGGCCTCAGATTTGACCTCTTTTTTAACCTCAATTCAACTGTTTTCAATCATTCAAAAGTAGAATTTGGTTATTCAATGGGGGCACGTGCCCCCCAACTTTCAAGAAGATAAGAAAAAGTGTCCTTTTTATAAGGCGGAAAGTGCCTTTTTTCATACCTAACTAATATGCCCTGAGAGTTTGTGCCTAAATTAATGAATGTAGTAAGTTTTTTTTAGGATTCCAGCATTCGCTAGCTTTTAAATATTTTTTCGAGGAACCCCGACTTGCCAATAGCGACGTTTATGTCAATAAAAATAGCACAAATACCGAAAGTTTCCAAACCGGAAATATCACGTCTTCTTGTTGCTAAGTTACCGAATACAGATTTTATATGGTCAAAGTTATAACATATTCAAAGTTGCTAAATTTTCTTGTTAAAAATTCATGTTAAAATTTTAAACTCTTCTTATATGATAAGATAGCATACAACATGGTCCCGCGCACCATGCGGCACTTTTTGAAAATACTACGAATTTGCTGTTTCAATGTAGCTTGCATTACAAATGTGAAATACAGACCCAAACTAAATTCATATTTTTAAGACAAGACAAGAAATGCCCTGTTTGGCAACCGAAAATGAATTACTTTGAGGGTGCCCTTTTTCTATGAAGAAGTGCCCCTGAAAGCATGTGCCCCCCCAACTTTAACTTGCTTCCTACGCCACTGATTATAAGTTAAACTTTCACACGCATGCATATATACGATCATTTCAAACGTTATTTAGAACAGCATTTACCCATCTATCCAAAAGTACACATCAGTTGAAGGCACAGACGTTACACGCTGAATATTTGAGGGCAACAGCAACGACTCATTGCAAAAACATCTTACCGAATATTGCATGGCGTTGACATGTATACACATGTTATCACCTTAATTGCAATTTAAACTTATGATAAAAATTCTGTTTATGAAGGTATGATTTAGGATCAGACACATTAAAGACAGACGCATTTAGACAATCATAATATATTATAGTATCAAACTATAGTGTACTTGTAGTACCAAACTGCATTTATAGCCAAATATGCTCAAAATTTAAATGAAAGGTATATTTCGATAATATTCTCGCTAATGTGATACATATAGAAAATTTAATAATAGTAATGGTTTGCGGAAAAGAGGAAGAAAACGGGTGTTTTTAGCTATATGTCGGATTCAATAGAAACGAGGTCACATTATTGACATTACACATTCACATAAAGGTCATACAATTATTAGCATCAATAATTAAACTCACGATTCTGAAGCACAAATTACAAAATTGAAAGCACTTTCCAATGGAAAAGTGAATATCAAGCCAAAGCCACTTAATTGAAGAATTTTGCTTTTGAATAAACTACCCGATATGCATATTAAGTAGGAATAAATCATATTAGGAGAACATTCCAAGCAATGCGGCATTAAACCAGTGCAAGCTGTTACATGTTCGTGATATTTTTTTTTTCTTTTGCTATGCACTGCTTTAATTATAGGCTCAAAGGTGAAAATATGCGATTGCGACTAACATTTTTTATCAGCCTCATATGTGCTCATTTTTTCACCATTTGGTATTAAAAACATGTCATCCGATAGTTAAAAGCCTGATCTTTCCGAATGTGAAAAAAATTCGTTCATAGACTGAGTAGTTCACGTTAAATAGCGTGTTGAAGTTGGATTACCTTTTTTTATACACCCTGTATAAGGCGCATTAATAATATTCGCATTAATGCTAATGAGAAAAGTACAAAATGCTTATAGAGTTACAAACCAGACCTTAACAAACAGGTTCAGCATTTTAATACTATTTTTCAGTTATAATTTTTGTTTGTCATGTTGTTCTACTTATTATGCATATCTTGTATCCTGTTATGTTGTCAATCATTGTTGTAAATAATTATGTTATTCATCGAGTATCACCTCGCCTGTATCTATTTCTACTTTGTATATTTGATCATACATTTGATAAAGTAAACTATTCATTCGCATTGAAGATGGCTAATAGTTAAGTCGAAACATGTTTGCTTTATTTCAAATGCTTGATGTATTTTATATTTGGCCGGTTGAAAAAATACCTAGGGTAAAATATTCGGATACGAAAGCGTTTCTAAACAGTTGCTCTACCGATCTAGAGGTCGGCAAACAGCGCACATACACGTTTTGTACTTTCACTCAGTGTATTTTTTAGTAGAATTCGAAGCCATTAGTGAGAAAATGAATCCATATACCATTATGTATGGTGAAATGCAAACTAGTGCACAAGCCACAGCCATTTTGTCACTATTTTCTGATGATGACAAGTAAGTTTGATTATTTTATGTTGACTTTACATTAAAGTCGCCAGCATACGTTTTAAACATCAAGATACATCAACAGAAATCAAAACTATATTAAGCATGGATAAATATAGATTAATGTTAAAAACGTACAGTAAATCCATCATCAAAGTATCATTATACATAGAAGTAAGACGAGCAAGTTTTCTATGACCAAGTTTTTCTTTGACAAGTTTTATTTGCTCGTGTGAACGTGCCACCAAGCTTACTTTGACAATATAGCGGGGGTTTTGCCCCCCAAAAAAATTCATGAAGAATGCCAGAATAGCAGAGCAATATACAAAGTACGTTATACCATATACCACTGCGACTTGGTTTTTCATTTATTCATGAGTGTCGTGAACATCAGAACATGTCAAGGTGGCTGTGAGTCAACAATGGCCGATTTGAATACTGAAATAAAGACAAATTTACAACCGGACTATTTCTCGCCGGTGAAAATGACTTAATCACGACAATTACGTCTATAAATGGAAATCAGGCTTTAGTGCGACTTAGGACGATTTTGGGGAATATTTGTGTAAAAATACTTACTGCAACTTAGGTGACCTACTACGACATATATTAGGCAACGTACTGCAACCTTCAGTAAGGCCCAGCTTGCGTTTTGAGTTGAGGAAAGTTTCATTAAAACAAGTGTTCCTTTCATCTCGTGACGCTTCTTCATGTTTCTTTATTTCAAACTAATATTCAATAAACGATTCCCAAATGCATTAGCTCCTGATTAAACTAGTTCAAACCAGATGCGGTATATTTCGGTAATGTTTATAAACATTCGCATTTCTTGCTTTCACGTGACGTAGTTTTAACAAATCAGATTCTGGAACAGATAAACTTCAAAACTTGCTATATATAATAATCTACTTGCTAATAATCTGCTTTCTAACACTTTTTTTAAATTGAAAAGGTTGTTTCACTTTGCATCCCCCCATGCCCGTAATATTATCGAATTGCTCATATTGGCACCAAACTTATAAACTAACCTATCTCGATGCATGATTACTATAATTTATATTTAGATAAAGATATGTCGCAAACAAGGCTTCCAAGTGATCTGAAATGGGGTAAAAAACGGGAAATTGGCTAATAAGAATCCATGATGGCATGATATGATTCGGCTAAAATATACTAATTCATTTCAGTTTTAAATTTATGTCAGAACCATATTTCTTTTAGCTAAACATAAACCCAAAATTTCGAATAGTTTCATAAAGAATAACAACAAATAATCGATTAAAAGACTGCGGAATTAATGGATTTCTATTTCGTCAACCCTTTGGAACGCTGATTAGATAAAACATGAGCACGAGATCATTCAGATCAAATGATGTTGAAAGAAAAAAGGTAAAAACACTTACGCGTACAGTGGATGAGTTGTCATTAAGTATTAAAAAGAAAGTGTAAGACTTGATTCAAATCCTACATCGATCATTCAAAGCCATTTTAACTTAAAAATACTCAATTTTAAACAAGCTAAATGATTATTTAACGATTTGCTTCTTACTTGTCCCTCATCCGCGGAGCCACTACTCGATCGGGGGCTTTTTCCCAATCACCTCCTATATCACCCCAAGCTTTTACTGAAGGTCAACCATCACATATCTATCAATACCTATCCCCTATCATAAGGTTGGGCGTGATACTGAGAATTATCTTCTTATAAGTACCCATACTTTTCAGTTTCCGTCTTAAAATATTTTGATACATCATGAACATGGATTGCATATACTGCGCATTATACAAAGCTGTATACAAAGACAAAACAGTATTAATTTTGCATGATGAATTGATCATTAAATTATCAATTTGTAGAAAAACAGGCATACGTGAAATAGTTTAATGCAATGATTTCTGTCTGTTAACTTGTTAACAAGTTGTTCCATGCTCAGTGTCGACAGCATGGAACAAGCCGTGTTGACAACTTGCTTTCAGACTTGTTACAACATGTGATACACCTCCTTTACATGAGAATAAGACATTCTAATCATTTTTCCCAATTTGTCCATAAAAAATTTCCAAGCAAACTTTGTAGTAAATCAATTATCGTAGGATCTGGTTTTGTTAAAAGTATATTGCTATCATATAATTGATACATTTTGAATTTATGTTACTGTTACTATTACTACTACTATTATTAATGCTGTTACTGAAAACATTACTATTTACGATTTAAATTGCATAATGGGGCAATTTCTTTTGGGTTGGTTAGTTTGTGCGTATTGCTCTTATTTACGAGTTGTGAGAAACATGACGGTAAAACGTGGGGGGTGCACCCCCACTCGATCCCCCAGTTAAGATAGTCACAATACGCCCCTGCATGGCACGTAAAAAAATTGTCTCTAAATCAATCAAAATCCCTAAACGAATAAGTTTTAATACTATATAGGTAAATCAACATGCAGTAATATGTATGCGTAAATGTAAAACAGTATGGCTTGCCATTCGTTTATTGAAAAAAATACTCGATCCCCATGGCGGCAATTATAGAAGTCAGGCTAGACAACAAGGATTGTAGACTCAATTTATACCAATTGTTCAGGTGTCCTTTGTGTCACTTTTCTCTATAAAAGAAAATATTTACGAATTAAGAATTATAAGATTGTTCCACGGAGAGCATGCCGGCGCATTTCATTTTATTAGATACTCATTTCATTTTAAGCCAAGCTAAAATTTCCGAATGGAATATTGGAAGTTAGAATCTTCCCGGCAAGCAAAAAAAAAATCCATTATTATATACCACTTATCAAAGTTTGGTGTTCGTAGCATTTCATTGGTCGAGAGCGAGTCACGCGAGAGTGACGAAATTTTGATGTCGCCAGCGCTACCCCCCTGCAGAGTGAAATCATGTTATCGTGTTATCTAATGGGAAATAACAACTTTAATCTCGCGCGGCGCACCTGGACGTGCGACCTTTTGACTGTTTATCCATTTGAAGCTATGTCTTTTATGAATAAATATTTCGTTGTTTACCTTGTAGTTTGGTTTTTCTTTGACGAGTGGTATGTAATAAAAAACTAATTTACCGAGAACTCAGAAAACATTATGTTTTGTGGACCCTCGACCATCGATATTTCAGGTCTCGGGTCCACAAAACATAATGTTTCCTTCGTTCGCAGTATATAAGTGTTAATTTTCCCTACAGCAGTGCGAATTATTTGACGTTGAGGATTCAGATCTGTGGAACTAGATTCTTGTATGTAACGGACGTTTATGACTGTTTGGAAGGTGCGAGAGAAAGCTAGATACTAAAGCTAGATATTTGTCCGCATTGGTAAAACACCATTTTTTGATTTCCTTTCGAATAATCTATGCGTATCTACAGCGAATTGAAAGAGTCATGGGTAATTGCAACAAAACATCGAGCCTATTCTCAGAAACAGAAGAAAACACAGTGGGACACTTATTTTACTTGGATCAAAAGGATTATAAAATATTAAAACGGCTTATAACACATCAGGATCCTAAAATATTAAACGATATTTTCCACTGGCTAAGAATTATGTTTTTGTGGAAAAGGAATCTAGTCTGAATCTTTTGCAGCGACTATATATGATGTGAAAAAAAAGTGTTCTGTGCGGCGATAGCGGTACGAAACAGTTTGTATACGCAAGTTCGCTAGAAAGTTAATCTTATGAGATTTAAGCAAGAGAAGTAAAAGTTTGTTCTTTTCTATTTTAGTCGATTTTCAGCGGGATAAGACAGTATAGGCATTTATGTCATCCATAAGAACAACACAATTTCCTTTATATACCGAGAATTTCAGAACCACCAAATTAGTTGCTAACTAATTGCGCGACCATTCAGAGCCCAAACGTTGTATGGAATAGTGACAGGCGCCAATACGCCATCTCAGGAAGAAAAAACCCAGTAATTTTCATAAAATTTTTTTTAATATTTTTTTACTCCGAATTGCATACAGGTTGATGGAATCTCCAAACATTTTGCAATACTTAATTCTTATACCCTTGATTGAAATACAGATATATATATATATATATATATATATATATATATATATATATATATATTTGTACTTTTGCTCTTAATTGAGCCATGGCTCAATAAAACTCCGTAATGTGAATAACAACTTAAGTAACAGTCGTTCCCAACTTGGCCTTGTAGCTCAGACGGTAGAGCATCGTTCTAGAAATGCGAAGGTCGCGGGTTCGATTCCCACCGCGGTCAAGTAGAATTTTCTGCTTGCCCGGTTGGTTATACTTGTGTAGAAAGAACATATAAAACACATATTTTTCTGCTTGCCCGGTTGGTTATACTTGTGTAGAAAGAACATATAAAACACATATCATATATATATATATATATATATATATATATATATATATATATATATATATATATATATATATATATATATATATATATCTATCTATCTATATATATATCGATTAAAGGTTAATGCCTTTTATATAATGATGAATGAAACCCAGATGTTGGCATAAATCATGATATTTGCATTTGTCTGGGGCCGGTTGTAAGAAAGCCAGATACCGCTATCTACCGCGGATAGTGATTTTTTACACTAAGATTTAATGAAAGTTATAGCAAACAACGGGCGATTTTGAAGCAATTGAAAAAGTCTGCCGTTAAATTCATGCTGTTAAAAAGTTGTTTACTTTGTGAGCAAATAATATTCCAGATTTCTCATGGTTAGAACATCGCGAGATAGATTCCTGATGCTTTGATAAGAATCCTGACTCATATTGCAAACATAAACTCCTACAACTTCTTAATAAACAGGCGAATATCAAAGCCAAAAGCCAAAATACGGAAAGCACGTGAAATTAGAACACGGCACAAAACCCGGAAGTCGGAGCATATGCAAAAAGACGAAAGCGAGGCAAATGTTACATCCAAAAATCTCGAAATGACACAACATCAATTACATCATTAAATGTATAACATCCAGCCGTGACGTCACGGTTTGAAAGCGTTCTCCTTCGTCGAACTCAATTAAGAGTAAGGGTTTTTTAATAAAAAGGAATATGCAAAAATACTTACCACGTACACGGAATGAGGCGCGAAGTAATTTTCTGCAGTGGGCCGGAAACATGTATGTACCTTTAAATAATAATGTAATGGAATTATTTTACTGAAAGGAATAATAATAGAAGAATTTTAAAAAAATTCTGTGATGCGCGAATTTTTTTATGTGGAAAACGTTATTTTGCCTTGATGAGAAAAAAATCGCCATTACAGAATTTTTTTAAAACTTTTTTTATCGATAAAGCATTTATAATAAACTCTGTTTGCCGGCCATTTTGAAACGGCTCTGTTGCCACGGTAACGGGTGCCATTTGCGCTCTAGATGTGTTTCCTGCAAAGTACATTAACTTTTAGCTTTACTCCTATCGAAACATTTAGATGCTTCTTATAACTGTTTAAAATATGCATCTAAAAATTTCGAGAAACTGTATCGACACACCTTAATGCAAATTTGGAAGTTATCATAAATCATAATTATTCATTTGAAAACTCATTGTTATCGCAATGAATATATACCAAAATGTTAGCATAACCAGGATAAATGCGCCTTTTCATACATCGCGCCATGTTGTATCTAATTTTTGGTCATGAATGTGATTACAAAATATCAACCGATCAGCAAAACGTAAAGGTTTTACGAAGGGTGTTTCTGCCAAGCAAAAATAAAAAGGCAAAAAAATATTTCATCGAATGTAGCCCAAGTTTAGTCAAATTCGATTTAGTCAATTTAAATTCCCCAAATTACATTTGTTTGGATTGCTTTCGGGGTAAGTAGAATGCGCAGAATATTAAAAAGCTTTCTAAAAAGCTCTGTAAGGATTTTCACCGTCAGAGACCTAACATACTAAATCTGCCAAACTAGCAAGCATTTGCTACTGACCATTGCAAACGACAATTTCGTCCCCATGTAGTGAATCCAGAATAGTGCAATCGGGGTTAATCTTATATATAGCCGCATTTCAGAGGAAGCCCCGCGGGGAATTGTGAAACAAAAGATGCAGGCAGCCATCTTAAATTATGGTGGCATTTTGTTCCATTTTTAGAATTAAAAGAATTATTAATTATTACAATTTTTTTATATTTTTTTAAATCTAACCTACTTCTTCAAGAAAATAAGAACATACCATCATCAAATCTCATTTCCTTAAGACGGGTTTTCAATTCTAAAAACGTTGGTCTGTGATCTTTCTTTTTCATTGTGGACTGAATCATTTTTCGAATTGAATCAGGGATTTTTGAATGAAGTTCAATTCTATTGCCATCAAGGACCTGCAAAAAGGAGGCGTGTACGTTTTTAAGAAGTTTTTAATTAATCCTGTCGTACCCAGGGTTTTCCACTTTAGACGTAGGCCTGCAGATGAACTAGCTGTGAATTCAGTTACAAGTTTGACAAATATATTTCTCAACTTATAATTCCACCCTTGTTTGAATGTTGGCTTATGTCTCCGAAGAAGTGTAGAGAAGCAGTTGTTGGACATCGTGCTAATTTATGGTACTTACATGTTGTCGAAAGTCCTCGTCATTATCCGAGGCCTTGCCGTCAGGCATATTTATATATGGTTCAGAACCAAATGTGAAAATCTCAAACAATAGAACACCAAAAGACCATACATCAGATGCAGTGCTGAATTCGCCGTCTCCAAGTACTTCAACTGCCATCCAACGAACAGCAAATCGATCTTGAGAATCTTGAGTCGAATCGGAAAATGCTGCAAAGTGAAAGTCGCCAAGTTTGACAAGGACGTTTCCGCTTGTTTCTTTATCAAATACAAAACAGCTTCTGGCACACAGGTCACGATGGATTATATTGTTCTCACCGAGGAAGATCATAGCTTCGCAAATATCTTGGGCAATGTGAAGCAGTACATCAACATTAAGTGGTTGCATGAAACCGTGAAGGTACGTCAATAGGTCGCCTTTCGTTGGTCTCTCGATTATCATGTGCATTGGAGAATCAGTGCTTAAGCCAAGCAGGCGAACTATGTTTTCGCATGGTTTTTTGACAGCATGCAAATGATCAAGGATTTCGATTTCTTTTCGCAGAGGGGCAGCAACAGGTTTCGTTTCCAACATCTCTTCCTTTGAATGCAGGTGCAATTTCAACAGGCATTTTTGGCCACTCATCAAGGCATCATAAATACTGACACGTTGCTCCAATTGCTGAACTCGTGATATTTGTAAAATCTCCAATATTTCATCTCTATACCTCGAACACAAATGAAGAATGGATAAGTGTTCGATGCACCTACCATCAAGAAATTCTTTGATATTCTGGGGCTTTGAGAAGAAGACCGCTCTCTCGCACAATTGCTCACAAAGGTTTGCCACAAATTCACCCAGGGGCGATGTCATTGATTTATCGCCTTCCCAGTTTCTAAACACACCACGGCAGCCTTGTTCTCCGGTTAAGACTTGTTCAATTATTGCTGTGAAATTGAAAAAAGAATACCAAGATATATAATTAGGTTTCAGGTAGGTAATGTTTGTATATGAAGTGAATCATTTAGCTCTATTGCAAATGCTAGTTATCAAAAAAGAGTAAACTAGCATTTTAAGTCTAATCTTGAACGAACAGGGCTGATTGTTAATACAACTAATTCAAATAATTTTGTTCCATTGAGTAGTGAGACATGCCGCGAACAGTTTTGTTCAAACCAATCTGCATGCATGCTTGGATTTTCAGAAAACGTAATAAATGTTTGTACTACCTTTGCTTTTTGATGTTGTAATCAACCTTAGCATCACCCGATAAACCAACAGCTCAAACAGACAATCAGATCTTGGATTTCGAATGAAATTCTTGAATTTGCTTGAACTGGAACGCTCGCGATAGTCTGCAACCAACATCTGCATTAAGATCACAGGTCTTGGGTTGTCTTTGAAATGATAATGCTGCATTGTAAAAAAATTACATGTCGCATATAGCCTTCATTTCAATCCATAGCTGCTAGATGAAATTATGAATTAATCATACCCAGAATTTCAGAACATTACTGATTACCATAAAACTTCATATTGCCTGGATTTCGTTATCAAACATGGCTGCCTCGTTATCATAGAATTATGTAAGGCACGACACAAAATTTGAAATAAAGCAACTTCTATCTTACATATTGCAATTGTGGAGTTGAATTTAAGACGGGCAGAAACTCAGTACTTTTATGACAATTGTTTCATATTTTTATCTTACCATTAACAGGTTCCCCAGTAATGTCATCTCAGCAACTTGTTAACCATTATATTTCAAGGAGCTAAAGCGTTGCTGAGATGACATTACTGTGAGCTGAATATATGAAAAAATGTCATAACAGTACTGAGTTTCTGTCCGTCTTAAATCGAACCAGACAAATTGCCGAAAAAATTTTCGAGCGAAAAAATATCGCGCAATTTTGGGCCGCCTATGATCGAACTCCGCAACTGAAATATGTAAAACAGAAGTTGCTTTAATTTCAAATTTGGCTCTGGTCCTGGCTAAATAATTCTATTATAACAAGGCAGCCATCTTTGATTGCAAATCCTGGTATTATGATAATTAATGTCCTGAATTTCTGGTGACGTTTAGAACAATTTAAAAGGTAAATTTTCTAAATACATGGCCCTAAATGAAGAAAACTTTATTATAGAACAAATACTTGAGAATCTTGTTTCGAAACTCATAGGAGGATAAGGAACGGGGCATATTAAAATTTACGCGACAATTCGTGAGAAACGGTAACATATTCGTAAAATCACAGATATAGTTTTCTGTAGTCGAAATTTATTTAGCTTTACGTTTATACAAGAAGTGATATATATGCCTCTTATCTATTAAGCAGAAGAAAGTAGGTTTATCAACCTATACCTTGGGTAAATCTTGCAGAAATACAAGGCATACATGAATATTCAACCAGCTGTCTGCATCATGGAGTTCTTTTCCGAGCTTCGTCACTTCATCCTTGTCTAATTTGCCCTTCAGAAGGTTCGCACACTTTGCAATGTTAAGTAAGAGAGATTCCTTCACGTTCCGTTTTGGAGAAGACTGAAGAATTCGCTTGATACTTTCTCTTGCAAGACTAATGCCATACCGGTAAAGATTTTGTTCGTTCTTGCTTGTTTGCTTCATGAGAGTAACTAAACTTTGGTCAAATATTTTTATCTTTGGTTTGAGTTTGGCAAATTCCTGTTCGCCAAACTTCAGAAGGACTAACGTGATTAGCCAAGCGTATGTCGTCATCCTATGGCACTTTGCTTTAAATCGATCCACTCTCATGAACTCTAAAAACTTCGAGCGAAGAGCTTCTTCCGCTTGCAATATGTTTTTGCAACGATCTACCGATAAATCTGAAATGTTTAAAAATATTTCATTTAGCAGAACATCAAGCGCTCTTTTCACTACGCGAGAGCTGTTACAGCAGGCCAACATTGCCAGCTCATCAAGTTGTCCATCTAATATTGGAGATTCAGTATCAGATTTCTTCAAAAGATCATTAATGATGTGGGTTTCCTTTGCATCTCGTTCCTCGCATTTTAACTTTGCAAATTCCTCGATTAACTTTTCTGTGCTGCTTTTACTGCTTCTGACCTCTAAAACAAAAGATTAAGATTAGAAGACATTTGATATCATTAAAGAGGGCGGATGTCCTTAAATTGGGCTGCTTTACACTGTCGCGTGTATTGCACTTACCCAAAAGCGCGTAAAAGTTTAAAACTTTCTGTTATAAAGTTGTTATATAATTAATTTTATGCCGGAAAAAAACACATCAAATCATCAACAGAATCCAACCCTATGCATCTATTCAATCCTTGATTTCATAAGTATCATATGTTTTTAAATTTTTACGTGCTATATAGTACGTAGAAAAAATTATTAGCAATCCAGATTTACACACTGTCTGATCTTGCTTACCAAAAGGATTTTTTCCAGTTTTTTTTAACCAGAGCGAAGAGGGTTTGCTATACTATACAGCAAAATAGTACAACCTAGTTAATACCATTTCGTGCCGCAATCGAAAGCCAATAATTTATCTATTCTTTTGCATGGCGAGCTTTCATTGGTGTAGAATATTAAATTTTTAAAATATAAAACACTACAACATGAGTTAATCAGTGTATCTGTGTATAATATATATCTACGATATGTGTAAACACCTTATGGGTTCTCGACTCACCCCTTTTTGTTCGACGCCCGCTTGTGACATAAAGGTCTAATGAACTCTCTTGCCCAACGTTGCTCCGACTTGTATTCTACAAAAAAGCACCAATTAGGCATTTATCTATACACAGTCACCATATTGGTGTAACAATTTTTCTGAGGGCGAATCAAGGATGTCTGACCGCCTAGTGGTACGCTTTATTGTTGCAATGAACACATAAACCAAATATAAAAATTTGAAAAAGTGACACCGGCTATGCTTTCATTGATAGCGGATTGTAGTTATCCAGATGTTTGATCATTAAGGGAACTATAACTAGGTTATAAGTCAATTCAGCCATATGTTCGTACTATATAGTATTACCAATCAAGCACTTGTGGAGTTTTTCTACATTTCGTGTCATCCTCATGGTCTATGATTTTACTTAAAGGCAAAGCAGCGAGAAAATCTGTGAAAACGCTTGATCTTGCAGTTTCGCATACAAGCAATACTTTAATTAGTTCAAATTCTAATAGACACGATGACAAGAATAGTAAACAACATGACCAAAATTGCTGGTCATGTAAAATGGTTTAGTCCTGTTTTAGTGTTTCGAAGATAAAATGTATAGAAAGAGGGGCGTGGCGACCAAAGCGTGTGACATCCCCTGTAATTTAGAAAAAAGTGGTCAAAATAAAGTGGTAAAAGTGGTCACTCATTTCTTAGAAAAATGGAACATAAAGTTTGAAAAAAAAATGTATTGAAGGGCACACATTAAAGATAACAATGTTCAGTAAAATGCGCTCATAGTTATAATCTCTTGAAAGCTCACAGTTATAATCTCTTGAATATAAATATGGTATGAAATAAAAACTGTGAGCTATAAATATTTTTTGATTGTTCAAACATATTTCATACGCGGTTTTTGATTGGCTTGTGAATATGATATTGTTATGCATATTAGTGCAATTATGTAAATATTGAAACCGTAGGCGTGTACAAAAGTCAGGACATTAACTTTTAGGTGTGGTTTTTACTTTTTCGATTGATTGTGAATCAAGGCAAATATAGCTCTTTTAAACGAATTACTTGTTCCTTTGGCACAACATTTCGTGGCAGCGGTGGAATTTTATACCGAAAGATATGCCTATGGAAACGAGATCTCGAGTTGGAGTAAGCGAGGAAGAGAACATTCATTATCGAAGATACGGCTGAACGAAAACCACAACAACCTTAGATGGGTGATGCGAATTTTGCTGATTTGGCGTCGATGTTGGGGAAGCAGATGGATCTCGTGGTGGAACAGAAAGTGGTGCAAGCAGAGCTAATGCACCAAATAAGACATTTGATCGGTGGTTTGATGAGAAACTAGGTGAAATTAGCAAACGACAGGATCGCTTAGAAGTCAGACAGGAGGAATATTTCGAAGCTCGATCAGTGCACAGTTAATAGAATATACATGGTTTGGAGACCACATATAACTACAATACAACTCATTAATTATGTTGAGGTAGATTTATGCAAAAAATCGTTCCTTTCTCATCACGTGCCTATTGTATTTTACACAAATAAACCAATAGCAAACTTATAATTAACATATTTTTCAAGTCAAGGTTGAGGAACGTAGCAAGACGAATGCCATTGGTACGTTTGGCTAAAATACAATAGACACGTGACGAGAAAGGAACCTTTTTTGCATAAACCTGGACAATAACATAGTTAATGAGTTGTATTGTACTTTTATTTAGTCTCCAAACCATGTATATTCTATTAACTGTGATCAGTGGTGTAGCTAGCCTGACGACTTTGTCTCGCTGTGTAAATTTCGAGTTATTATAATTATTCATATCTTTAGAACTTCATTGTTTTCGCACTCAATGAACATCAAAATATTAGCATAGCGGGACAAATTGTCAGGCTGGCTACGCTACTGACCTTGATTAGACGTTCTGGAAAATCGCGTTGAAATATTTGGGAGAGGTTACGGCGAATGCAGAAAGAAATCGCGATAGCGTTTAAAGAAAATTTCCTGGAGGAGCTGTTTCAAGAAATTAATTTAAAGAAGGCCGGGGTAAAAAACCTGAAAGACGAAGCAGTAAAGAAATTTACTCCAGAAGAACGTTCCTCTGCTCCAGGTGACACGTGGGCAACTCCAGTTATTTCAGCATCCGAAAGACGACGCATTCTACCCAATCCAAGATTCCTGCAGTCCAGCAACCCGAATTTGCGAGCCACCTTAGTTCAACGAACGTGCAATCACTGGGCGTCGGAAACTCCAGTAAACGTGTGCAGAAACCAACTTCATTTGACGGTACGGGCTTGTGGGAGTCTCATTATGCGCAGTTCGAAATAGTGGCTACCTTAAATAACTAGAACGATAATCAAAAGGCGGCTTTTTTAGCTACTAGTTTAAAAGGCCTGCCTTGGCTGTGTTGGGGAATTTGGCTCCGGAAGATCGCCAAAACCTTGACGTTGTACTGGTGGCTTTTAAAGATCGGTTTAGAACAAGTCATCAAACGGAACTTTCGACGAATCATTACCGGAATTGGCCGAGGACATAGAACGGTTGAGTAGGCTTGCTACACCAACGTTGCGTGAAGTGCTTGCGCGGGATCAGTCCGTTGATGCTTTGCCTGACGAAGATACCCGGCAACGAATAAAGCAAGAGAGACCACGAACATTACGAAGAGCTCGGGGAGCTGCCCTTGAGCTTAAATCCTTTAACATCCCGGCCCGCCAACGGCAGAGAGTGGCTAGAGAGACCGAGCTTATTATAGTGCACCAACCACCGATCTACGATCGTAGACGGCAGGCCCCACCCACAACAATTAGTCAGCTAGAGGAAAGGAATATTCCGTCCCTGGACGGAGGATTTACCCACTGCAAGGCTTTTTCGAGTAAAAAAAAGTTCGACAGCGTTTTTACAGGATGAAATTAAGATGGACAATAGAGAACTGGTGTAGACGGTGCGAAAAATGCGCGTCCTGCAAAGGATATCCAAGAAGAGGGAGGGTCTGTTGAAGTTTTATTACGTTGGTTTTCCGATGGAAAGGATGGCGATATATGTGCTGGGTCCGCTCCCAAAAAATGATTTTGAAAATCAGTATATTCTAATAGCTCAGGACTATTTAATTTTACAAAGTGGCCGGAAGTATTCCCAATTCCTCACCATCGAGCCGTAACGGTTGCAGAGGTTTTGATGAATTCTTTGCTCGATTTGGAATTCCAATGGAACTACATTCTGATCAAGAGAGAAATTTTGAATCGGAAACGTTTCAAGAAGTCTGCCGATTGCTAGGAAGCACTTCATAAGATACGAACGACTCCGTATCACTATGAATCTGGAGGGATGGTAGAACGACGGTTCAACCAGACGTTGGAAAATGGTTTAGCTATTCACAATCAATCGAAAAAGTAAAAACCACACCTAAAAAAGTTAATGTCCTGACTTTTGTACACGCCTACAGTTTTAATATTTACATAATTGCACTAATATGCATAACATTATTTTTACACGTAAAAATATCGTAATTTTAAAAATATCGTATTTTAACGTGTGTTTAAATGCGATTTTTCTCGGTGGCGTAAAACTCTATATAACACTCATGTTCATATAATTATAAAACTTAGTCCAGTTGCGTTGTGAGTTCAGTGACGTCAGTGATCGCGAAGCATAGGATATAGTCATTGAGAAGGATGGAAAGCACTGACCTATACTAGATATCTAGTATAAGTCAGTGATGGAAACTTGTGTAATAATATACACATACATACGAAATTCACTAGCAATATTTTAAATGGAAATGAAAACATACTCGAACAACATTATTGCATAAAAAATATTTTAAAAAACAAATGAAAATGTACAAAAAATGTGCAAAACTTTTGCTTATTTGCCGAAACATATCGTGGCACAATGCGGAACATGAAAAATAAACAAACTGCGTGTAGGTACTTACTTCATGTGCATGGTATGAAGGATTATCAGAATTAGGAGTAGTATATATGTGGGGATGTCTTGATTGTGAAGTATGACGACGATCACCTACATGATAATCGAATATAGGATAAATGTTGACAGACAGTGATATACTGTTAACGTGTATTCTCGATTAAATTGTTAGAGGAGTATTTACGTTTGAGGTTGATATTAATTCTTAATTAACCCTTTTGGTTACTACTTCCCTTTAACGTTAGGGGAAAATCACCTAACTTAACGTATGGATATGTTAAGCTAGTTTTCGACTAGGCAAATTTATTTGACGCAAAGCCAAATTTGATATCCGGTGATGTGGTTAGTTAGGGTAAAACCAATGGCACAAAAGTAGGATAGCTTCCTACCTTTAACTCAGTTCGGGCTAAATAATTTGCTCAGTGGAAAACGAGCTTTAAATAGGAGATAAAATAGCGAACAAAATGAATGAAAGAAAAATCAACTATAAATTACCAGTTTTCAGCACATTACCTTGGCGTTGTCCTAAGTGGGAGGCTTCACGCTAAAATACAGTATTATATATGACACTAATTAACTACTCTTACTTTCAAAAGAACAAAGGAACACCTTAGAATACAAAACGCACTCACCTCCGCGTAGCTATTTATGTCGTGAGAAAAATGACCGGTGTTGCTATCTTCAGATGCTTCTGGACGCTCTAGGTAAGAGTTAAATAGCATTAGCAAAAATCCGTTGTCTCACATCTTTTGCATTACAATTTGGCATTGCACCACTTTAGGTAAAATAGCGTCAGCTGCTAAAAATTAAAACAACACGGAAACTCTTTTCTGAAGAGCTGACGAAATCGCGTTACTGCCTGGCCAGTCATGGAAAGTTTCGACAATGAGGACGAAATGCTTTACGAGCTTGGCGCAAGATTACCTGGCTTAAGTTCTAAAAAAATATCTCCCCAACAAATTTCAATGCGACGGGTTTTAAGGCATTTTCAGCAAAAAACCCGTCACAGGTTATGTCAGTCGAAAAGTAATCAATCAATAACATTTTTAGGCCATCGGCATCGTGAAAAGTCGTAAAGCTTGCGTTTCTTGAAATAATTAGGCACTTGGCATCTGAAACAGGCCTTCTGAAACATGAAGGTGGCACTTTGAAATAATTTATATTGCCAATAATTACCGAAAAAAGTTATATAATTGCCAATTGACAAGTAAATAATATTAATCAGTATACAGGGGGGGGGAGCTGCGAATATTTGCATATATTTTTAAAAACACGTATAAGCGTACAAAAGAAATTCGTCGGACAGAACAGAATATATGAATATTCACCCCCCCCCCCTCCAATTATCGCGCCAGTCTCCCCCTCTGGATCAGAAGTCAGGATAATACTTGCGTGGGAGAGACTCTATAAAGGAAGAATTATGTAATTATACGGAAACGACTTTTCACGATGCCGATGGCCTAAAAATGTTATTGATTGATTACTTTTCGACTGACATAACCTGTATCAAAGTAATTGAGCTCTCTCATAGTAAAAAGATATTTACCTGTTTCATTCGACTCCGCCATAATTTCTGTAATGAAATAATAAATTTTATACTGGTAAGTATTTTAGAGCGATACTTAAGCAGGGAGAGTAACTGTGTACCACGATATTAGTGATAATGCAGAAGCTGAAACGGTGAGATTCCAACCCGCGATCTTTCGTTTGCAAGTCGTAAGCTATTATATAGGTGATATTTCGGAACTTAATCTAGTACCTTCCTTATATCTGTGTTTCTTAAAGTGGACGAGTGATAATTGCCACATAATTTATGTTTATGTTATGTTCACATACCTTTAAAACAATCGCTTTTAAATAAGTCAGCGGGGAAGAACATGATGAATGCCAATGCAGTCTTTCAATTTAACATTTTGTTAGCTCTGTCTTGATGTTGACAAAACGGAATTGGGAACTATTTTTTATGCGGGATTGGTAACTATGCTTCTAGAATTTCATGCTTACCAAAAGCCGCTCATGAGCGCAAAACTTCATTATTTAACTATTTTATTGACTCCCTAAAGTTTTTAGCTACAGTTAATACAGTTGGTACAGTATACATGATGCTGATAGCCGTATCCTTGAATTTCTGCATGAAAGCTTATGGGAAATCAAATTTCCATAGTAAAATGGTACATTTTAAGAATGTCCTTTAAGTATGTATCTCAATCAAGAAATCTACGGGTCATATATTTACGTTTATTTACTCCCAGGTTTCCACTAAGGTTATCATTACACTTTCGCTGCTGCTATACTGAGGTAATGTTCTGCTGTGATACACATTGAAGCAATATTAGACTCTTTCAAATTCCTTTGAAGGTGTGTTTGAGGTAACTTGCATGCATACAAAATTGAATTCTGCGTAGAATATGCATGAAACCCGTATTTTATTGTAACACAAAGTGCACGGTTTAGGTAACAGGTAACGTAAAATCAACACACTTACTTTCTCCTTGAGACACTTCTTAAACCACAAGGAAGGGAAGAAAAAGAAGTATTTTGCGAATAAGAGCTGTTAGCGACCAAAATATGACAACAATCTATAGTGCAAAGAGAGATACCACGGAAAACAATCGCTATCACTGAGGAATACACAGTACACCCACTCAAGTCGGTGTCTTCCAAGTTTACGCCCCGCTATTTTTATCATACATCATTGCCTGCTATTATTCTGACTAATTAGTGACATGTTAGTTGAATTCCTAACTGTAAAACCGGCCTAATAGCTTAGTTTGCTATTACTCCTATACTTCAAACTAATACCTAAATTTTCGAAAAACGTTTTCTATAACTGTAATTATTAACTATTAACATACCTAAACTAGACAGGTTTAAAGGGTCTTAATTTCGAGTGGAAATTATACACACTTCAAATTCAAGCCAGGGACAGTTCATGATGGAAAAATGAGTCAACTAAAGGTCCTCCGGCAGGAATCGAACCTACGCTTTTGCGATGCCGGTGCAATCCTCTTGGTAGATTAGCGTAGGTTCGATTCCTGCTGGAGGACCTTTAGGTGACTCATTTTTCCATCAACTGTTCCTGGCTTGAATTTAAAGTGTGTATAATTTAAATCAGTAATAGTTACAGAACAATAACATTTTAAACAAAGTTTTTGGTTACACGTCAATTCATCAACTATCCGAATCAAAATGTTCGTATGAATGTGAACGATTTTATAAGTTCGTTGAGACAACACGGCCAAAAGGATGAACAATGTATTTTATATTTGGCCGGTTGGAGAAATACCCATGCAGGGTAAAATATTCGGATACCATGCAAAACCTTTCTAAAAAGCTGCTCTTCCGATCTAGAGATCGTCAAACAGCGCGCAGACACGTTTTATACTTTCACTCAGAGTATTTTTTAGTAAAATTCGAAGTCCATTAGTGAAAAAATGAATCATTATGTATGGTGAAATGCAAATTAGTGCACAAGCGACAGACATTTTGTCAGTAATTTCTGATTATGACAATTAAGTAAGTTTGATTATTTTATGTTGACTTTACATTGAATCCAATTATTCAGTGATACGTTTTAAACACCAAGATACATCAATAAAAATCAGAACTATATATAAAGCATGGATACATATAGATTAATGTTATACTGTTCCTACGGTTTTCCCGAATTTCTGGGAGAAATTTTGATCTGTTGCAAGATCATGGAAAGTTTCCAGAACTCGAAACTATGTTTTAAACTTGAATCCGCAATCGTATAATCACGTAATCGTCAGTATATCGTTACTGGACGTTATCGTAACTAGACTAAAAACGTACGGTAAATCCATATAATCAAGGTATCATTATACATAGTAATAGTAATAAAGTCTGGAGCCCGAAAACATCATAAATATAAGGATTCCTACTACATAATAGGCTTAATAGCTAACTCCAGACTCCAGTGTCGTCATTCTTTGTTATATTATTGTTGTATTATCGAGTCAGTTATACTTATTATGATCACTGTGGTCAATCATTCCAGAAATATGACTTCCAACTTTCTATTCCGTTGTCACTATCAAATGAGAGATAAAGAACATAAGCTGAATGTCTTTTGACCTGGCCGCCGCTAAAAATTGCGCACGTCTAACCTAGCTGCGATGTATACCCTGTTTGTCGAACGTACTCTTTTTTGCATTGCTATGGAAACCCTTTGTATAATAGTGTATATGTTATACTTGGCGTCAAAAAAGCCAACTTACCACGTAAACTGGACAAGCTGTGATGTAGTTTTTTGTAGTGGACCGGATCCATGTATATCTCTGTAAATTTTTTTTATAAAAGAGAAAATCGTTTAACGTAGGCCAATTGAGATTTATATCTATCGCATTATCAACGAGAAAAATTATTCTTGTTCGTAAATCTATAGGGTCTCTTCATTTCAAAGATTTCCTTAGTCTACAGGATGAACGACTGAGCTTAAATTTATACTTTCCAACTTTGCAAAAAAATTTCATTTTGTATGGCTTGTAAGCGACGTTTGTATAGATTCGATATTGATTTTTTAGAAAATGAAAATGGATTGCAAAATATGCAAATGAAACCAGCTGCTTTCGGCCCGATAGCATTATATCAGATTGCTATCTGAGCATTTAAAATAGCAGGGCTTCGTATAAAAATTATCAGATACCGAAGTAACCAAAAGAAAATGTCGTGACTGGTATAGTGTAATCATTACAGGGTTGAGTTTACAATAAATTGCACAGTCGCGCCTTGAGGGAAGTTGTTCATTATAATATGAAGTGAGAAATTAGTCGAAAGCTCTTACCTGCATAATAATTATTATATTAATTAAGAATTAAAAAACGAGTCGCGTGCCTTTATGGTGTAATAATGCACGATGGGGGAATGTTGGGAGAATACGAGAGAAGCTTGTAAAACACGAGGCGTAGCCGAGTGTTTTACAAGCTTCTCGAGTAATCTTCCAACATTTCCCCGAGTGCATTATTACACCATAAAGGCACGCGACGAGCTTTTTTAATTCTTTTATAATATAAGAAGAAATTATAGGGCAACAACAAAATTTATTTATTTGATCAATAATGAAATTCTCCTTACATGTTATTTAAGATGTTGCCTAGCAACAAAAACTTCAAAAGCCAGAAGCGTGCATTATGGCCTCACAATGCACGCGCGGTAGCCAATCAAATTGCTCGTTATATCATACTTATATTATAATTAGTCATATTTACCCATAAGATTCTTTTTCGTAAAATACTGCACTGCAGAATTCATATGCATAGTTTGAAGTGTTAATTGGGCTATGCACCATCTCAATCATTAATTTATATCTTAATAAATTACCCTGACAAATGTGGTACTATACGGTATAGAGTGTTGTGGCCTTAACATCATCACTAATCAAGTGACGGGTCCAGCGAGGAGAGGTGGGGAGTGGCAGGGGGTAGGGGGTGACATTTGAGTTTTCTCTGTGTTTCCCAAATGCACTTGATTGAACTAATTAAAGACATACCATCATCAAAAGTAATTTCCCTCAAATGGGAGTTCAGTTCTGAAAATGTTGGTCTGTCATCTTTTTTTGTAAATGTGGACTGGATAACATTCTGAATTGAGTCAGGGATTTTTGGATGAAGTTCAAGTTTATTCCCCTCAAGGACCTACAGAAGGGAAGTGATATGTTTTTATGAAATGTTTCTTCACATAACCCAGTAATATGGATTTTAGTTTGTTTTTATCAGAATACAAAAGTTTTTTGACTGAAGTGCATGCAAGTATGACTTTAGTTCTTCAACTTCTATAATATTCAAGAGATGACAGGACAGAGATATTTAGAATTAATTGTAGTTTATTTTCATGTTTCAAAATACTTACATATTCTCGCACTTCCTCGTCAATATCCAAAGACATTCCGTTTGGCATATTGACGTATGGTTTCGAACCAAAGGTGAAAATCTCATACAATAACACACCAAATGACCATACATCAGATGCAAAACTGAATTCACCGTCTCGAAGTGCTTCAACAGCCATCCAACGCACAGCAAACTGATTTTCCGAATAACCTTTGATGGATGATCTCATAGAACTAGACTGAGAATCGGTATCAGTTTGAGACCGCGAAAGAGAAGAAGAAAGATGAAAGTTGCCAAGTTTGATGACAAGACTTCCGTTTGGATCAAAAACAAAACAGCTCTTGGCACACAGATCGCGATGGATTACATTGTTTTCACCGAGAAATATCATTGCATTGCAAATATCTAGAGCAATGTAAAGCAGCAATTCACCTTGAGGAGGTTTCGTGAAATCGTGAAGATACGTCAACAGATCATTTTTGGATGCTTTCTCTATTATCATGTGCATAGGAGCTTCAACGGTGGAACCAAGCAAGCGGACTATGTTTTGGCACGGTTCTGGAACAGCATTCAAAATACTAAGGATTTCGATTTCGTCTCGTAAAGAAGAAACACCGGGCTCTGTTTCAGGTATTTCTTCTTTTGAGTGCAGGTGCAATTTTAACAAACATTTTCTGCCACTCATCAAGGCATCATAAGTACTGACTCTCTGCTCCAAAAGCTGAATTCGCGACTCTTGTAAAATCTCCAATATTGCATATCTATATTTTGAAGATAAATGAAGAATGGACAAATCTTCGATGCATCTATCCTCAAGAAATTGCTTGATAATCTGTGGTGTTGAAATGAATACCACTCTCTCGCACAGTTTTTCATGAAGCTTTGCCACAAATTCATCCTTGCTCGGTTTCGAGGAATTATCATTCTCTAGTTGCCCGAGAACTCCTCCACAACCTTGTTCGCCTGTCAAAACTTGGTCAATTATTGCTGCAAATTGAAAAATATACAAGAAATGTGATATTATGAAATATCTTCACATCGCACTATTGTTGCAACTTTGGGGTTTGAGGTGATGAATTTTTTAATTTTAACAAACAAGAAATTTACCAAAAGCCTTATAATGACGTGAAACGCAGAAAGACTGCATGTTACACGTAGTTTTGTATATTGAATGCCGCTTTTTATAAAATTGAAATAACATTACATTATAAACACTTCAAGTCTATAGAACCTCCATAGTCTACAAAACATTAATTAAAGTATACCTTTGTGTTTTGACGTTCTAACCAGCCTAAGCATCAACCGATAGACTAACACCTCAAACAACCAACTTTCCGTTGAAACTCTTGTAAATAACCGTTTCCCACCGCAGCGCTCGCGATAATCTGCGATCAACATCTGTAGTAAAATTACCGGTCTTAGGTCGCCTTGGTACTGATAAAACTATATTAAATATAAATAAACAAGATTCTCAGAATAGGTTAGGTGGTTTAATCTAACCATGCAATCTATATCTTAGACACTTATTGAGCTCTTTCACATGGCTCTCTACTACATATATAATGGTTCAAGAATGCAAGGTGAGAGTTTATGAAAATATACAATATATACTAGGTACTCATCCAGCCTGCGAATGCAGCCGCCCTATTTTAACTTATTATATTCCTAAAAATCGGGGAAATTAACATTCGCACGTTTTTCTTAAATCAAATTGAACAGGATGTGCTTAAAAATGATTAGGCAGGGGCCACCTAACTAATATAGCTGTAGGCATAATAACAGCATAATGGCGGATTATTTTTTGTATGCCGTAAAATTTCAGCTAGGGCACTAATGCATGAGCGCCCTGGGCCGGAAGAAAGTAGATAACTTTAAGTGATTATTGAGGACGTTTAGGAGGATGATTGTGGACGATAAATTTGTATCACAGTGTGATAAATTTAAATGCCTTGTTCGGAGATAGGAAATAAGATGAAAAATCGCCTCGTCACTTGCTAAAAGTAATGTATTTTGATTGGACAATTTAAATTTCAGGTGTTCTTTTCTTGATTAAAAATCAGGCGTTGTTGAAAATTTTTTCAGAGGTTTGGAGGTTTTAAAAAGAAAAACCAATTCAGTTTACAACCCAAAGAGCATAAAACCCACAATACGATGTCACTGCACACGAAAAGACACAATCTGAGATTATAATCAAATTGAAACATGCGCCATTTCGAAGTTCGCATTATTAATTTTATTGAAGAACTGACTGACTGCAGTAGTTTCTATGTATCTGGTAAAATAACGTGTGGACTGATACACCTACCTTCGGCAAATCTTGCATAAAGACAAGGCATACATGAATATCTAACCAACTATTTGCATCACTGAGCTCCCTACCAAGTTTCATTACTTCATCCTTGTCCAGCTCGCCATTCAAAAAGTATTTACACTTTTTAATGTTAAGTATGAGGGATTCCTTTCTGTCCGGTTTCTTACACGATTGAATAATCCGTTCAATGCTCTCCCTGGCGAGATATAGGCCGTACCGAAACAGATTTCGGTCTTTGTTGTCCTTGCTGTTTAAGAGTGTGCTTAGCTCTCGGTCAAATTCTTTGATTTTTGATTGGATTTTCGTAAATTCCTTCTCGTCACACTTCAGAAGGAATAACGTGATTAGCCAAGCATACGTTGTCATCCTGTGGCACTTGGGCTTAAAACGGTCAACCTTTAGGAACTCGAAAAATGATGAACGAAGAATCTCTTCCGCTTCTAATATATTATGACAGCGAGTTTCTGATGAATCTGAGATGCTTAAGAATATTTCATTCAGGAGAACATCAAGCGCTCTTTTCACTACTCGAGGGCTGTTACAGCAGGCCAACATCGCCAGCTGGTCAAGTTGTCCATTCAAAACTGGAGATTTAGGATCAGAACTAGTTAAAAGATGGATAATGAGAAAGGTTTCCTCTGCTGTCCTGGTTTCGTCTTTAGTACTTTCAAATTTATCGATGAACTCTTTTGGTTTGTTATTAAATTCGTACACTTTCTTTCTCATTTCTAAAAAGATTACATTGAGATTATGTACATAATAATAAATTGTTTAGAAATAATATCGATGAACATTGTTTGACAGAGCTGAGCAAAAACCTCAAGAAAGTCTTTCGATTCTTTCTACCACAAAATACTGGGCAAGTCACGTTGGTCATATTCGGCAAATTTTCTCCCGGTAAAGAGGGCTCAGTTTTCCAGCGGTCTTCGCATAAAAAATTAAAAGCTTTTCGTTTTACGCTCTGCTCTCAATTTTGCGTAAGTTGTCCGCTGACAACATGAGCCCGCACGAGTGGGAGAAACTTAGCTAAGTTGGACCAGCGTGAGTATTGCAGTTGAGTAGGAAATTTATCTGCAAGTAGGAAATTTACATTGCTACCTGAGCGAACAGATAATCTCATGCAATTAAAAATTCTCTATACAGACTGTTGAATGAAAATTTCCAGTGAACTGTCTAACTATACAAATTTTTCTCTTCGTTACATGCTCTTTTTTTTAATTGCACGCACGGCGAACGCGCGCATGCATTTGCGATTTAATACATAAGATGTTGGTTCAGTCACTCACAAGTATTTTTAAACTTTGGCTTGTCAATGGTTTAAGCTTAACAACCGACGTCAGACTCGAAAGTGGCGATTTAAAAGCTTTTGGAGTTGAGAAGGGGTTCCTTTCTAGCTCCCCCCCCCCTTCCTGGAAAATGTTTTGTATTTTTAACGCTTAATTAGGCCTCTGGGATTTGACTATGTTCATTTCGGAAGACCTTTTTTGATGAGTACCATCAAAACAGAGCGAGTTTGTTGCGGTGTGTAATGTTAATACGTTTTTCTGGACATGGTTATGTTTTGCTAGTATTTGTATGCACTCAAAAGGGATATTATATATCACGAAAAAAAAATGAAGCTGTAAACCGGACAATAAACTGTATATTGCTGCAATTAGGTGCTTTAACATCATCCAATTAAAAAATGTTCACCCATTCTAGTGACATATAAAACAAACAAATGTTGCATTCATGCATGTAATGATAAGAAAATTTTTCATCCGTGAAAGACGAATTTACCTATCTAACTCTGTTTCGATCAAGTGCGGATCTGGGGTGTGCAGAATAAATTACACAGCTTAATTTTAAATTCAAAACAACAACGCTATTTGTTATAGATTTGAACCTATCCTTACACTCATGTATACTTGACCGTTTGCCATTTCGATTACAAACATTAGCGGTTCAACAACACATTTTTTATATAAAATCAAGACAATCGGATTTAGAAAAAACTAAAATAAGTATATAATGGATACAATACCATAGAAAGTAAGGCTTTGGACATGATCATCAGCGGCAATGTTTGGCACATCTCTCTTTACTTGATACTTGCTTTTGACATCAATTTGTTCTCTGGGAAGCTACAACGTATAACATCGAACTATTTTTAAACTATATTGACAAAATAAAGATTTAAAATTGCTACATACCTATCCAGGATTTTCACAAGACTGAATTAGATAACAAAGAGAATAGACATTAATAGGAAAGTATGAGGGTACTAATTCCGGCCTAAGATTAGGAATTACACCCGGGTATTGTGCATTGACATTTATTTACCTGGATTGCCTGCCTGGACATAACTCAAAATGGCGGCGATTATGAGAGTGTTTGCTCATGAAGTCGACCACTGACCAGTAATTTAATCTCATATTCGTCAGCATTGATGGCACTTAATCTCATATTTTTCAGCAGATATGACGTGTTAATATAATATATATAATATATATATATATATTATATATATATATATATATATATATATATATATATATATTATATATATATATATATATATATATCAATGGCATTGTGACATAAACGTGAACATGACGGAATCTAAAGCCGTCCAAATTCTACGTTATGGACCGTGGACAATCGACGTTCGACCGTTTTGTTAGTTATGCCCATGCGCAAAATATGAAAGAGACTGTGGTAATGAACAAATTAACAGGTAACTACGAAGGAGCATGGATACAGTTCAAGACTAAGCGGTGAAACAATTTAACATCTGTCTTAAAAGTACTTTGTGTGTTTACTTTGGTTATTGCATATTTGCTACCCGGTAAGGATCGATGCATTTAATTTGTACAGTTTTTAGCTTAGAAGGACATAACAAGTGTGGAAGCTGGGTTGTTGCTCCATCGCCTTAATTAACTTTAAAAAGTTTTTTAAAACTGTAAAGAACTTTAGACTTTAAGAAAGTTAAAAAATTTTAACTGATTTTGATAAAACCAATGTCACCGGTTGGATGCAATCACAGAATAAACATTCAAAGATAATATTTCACGATTGGTCTTTATCTTTAAATATATTCTACTCATGGCTTAGAGCTTGAAGCTTGGTTTGGATTTGCGAGAGGTTGCTGCATGCATGTGTTCAGTTCGCATGTGCTTTATATTCCATATAAGCAACCAATGTACTCACCTCGTAATGCGTATTTTTCCTGGACGGTGGGGTAGATTGGTAATCTCTGGCTGGTAACATTGGAGGAGGAGAACCTAAATAATTGTTATTAGTATAATTCCAAGCTGACTATTGCTTTTCATGCATTTTGATTGGTCAAAATTTACTGTCCCTGAAGTGATAGTTACTGGTCGGTGACTATAACTTTTTGTTGCCGTTTTGCAAATAAGAAATTTGAAGTAATTATAAACTTTTATGAAATTTTGTTGATTATTATTTGTAAAGACCTCGAAATTTATACTATATTTATAATTTATACTAATTGTTTAGTCGCCTCAGGCTCGATGGTTACAAGCCTATATAGCTATACTTAAGTTGTTCAAAGTATTATTAAATTTGCCACTGAAAAAGACGTACATTACATATACAAATAATTACTAAATTACCCTAGTAAATAAAATGGCAGGGTCACCACAACAGCGGTTGCCAATTACCGTGGGCCCCAGTTGAAATTGCAATCAAAAACGAGGCTAATATTTTTGTATGTTTGCATGGTGACAGTCGATAAGTAATTTAGCTTGTAGGTAAGCATTGCACTTATGAAGGCCCGGGTTAACGGACCAAAAGCTTTGAGGTATTAAATACTTACGTGGTGTTCTTACAAGCTAAATTACTTAAAAACGAGGCTGTCAATAACTAAACTTCATCATGTAAATTCCAATATTCCAAAAAGGCGAACAAATTACTTGTTTCGCTCAAAATGGAACGTTAATGGAAAGGAATCATATTCATATATTATGCTATGCCAGGTTGATTTATATTGGAAGTGAATTTTTTTTTCAAAAGAAATTAGCTAGGTGTGTCGTACACTGCTGCATTAGCTAGTTTCTATCATTATAAGGTGAAAAAAGGCGTTCGCAAGAAATGTTATTAGTTACACTGTTAATTTCATGGTGCCAATCACCAATGCTGGTGTTGAACAAAAGGTACAAAATGACACCTTTTTTAGGCCTAGCTATGGGTGATGTCACACTGCATGCCGAAATGTTCACCGAATATATAGTTATATGAATGGATTCTGATACAATATATGTTCGGTTTAGTTTGACTTCACTATAAGCGCCATACATGCTTTCCAGCTGCCGCCACAACATATTTCCAAGCGTTTACATTATAAGCTTATACGCTCGCCACTGTAGCTATATACGGGCCGTTTAAAAATTCGTTACTCTTTGAAGGCTGTGAGGGTGTCTATGGGGGAGTCACAGAGAGTTAGGAAATTTCACTGATGACGTCAAACGACGCAAGGTGAGAATTGGTTATTGGTAAAGTTACAAAAGGAAATTACTTTGCACATGATTCGTCTTTGTCTTCAAAAAACGCCAAAACAAATTCATTAATTGTGAAACATCGTACATTGTACATCTTCACGTAGGAATCACTGATGATGATCTAACGGTCTACTATTAGAACAGTCAACAGTGGTGAGAGGGGGCTATGTCGTTTAGCGTCGCGTAATTTTTGATATAGTGTATAAAAATTATTGGTATTCGCTAGATAACGTCAGAGAGGGTTGGGAAATGTATACAATACCATTGGAAGGAATGTTTTGGTCGTCTTCAGCGTTTGGTACAGCGATCGTTGAATCAAATCTGCTATTGACATTCTCACTCACTTCTAAATTCTCTCTGACAACGCTGGTCTGATTGGGGAGCTACAAAGTGCAGAATAGAGATTTTTCAGTGTCTTCGTCCTTGTCGTTTTATGTGAAAGGCTTTCCCTTAAAAATAAAACCTAGAAACAGCATGGCAGCGTCTTTTAACAACTTCGCATCACGTAAATATGGCATAACAGGGAGTTAGCATGACCTAGCTGTAAGGCCAATTTTTTTGGCAGTTATTTGTCAAATTTGATGTAAAGATGTTGCTTGAAAATCCTGGACAAAGGTGCGTGCGCGTATTTTGACAATTGAACAAATTAGCTTTCTGCTTGACTGGTGTTATGTAATAGATATACATAACTTATGCACTTCCTGATACGTTTACTCACTTCCGATTATGTGTAACATCGTAAATGATTTTATAGTCGCGGAAATAGAAGCGTTCCGAAAATATCAAGCGACTCATTTGCTCAAATTTATCAGTTGGCCTACAGAGTTCATCAAATATTTGGAAAACTCCTAACTTCCGGTTTCGAATTGAATAATCATATGCGTATTTATTTTATTGTCCGATAGGATTAGAGATTAGTCAATTTTAAACTGGGAGTTAGGAGTTTTTCAAGGAATTTTCAAATATTTGAACACCGTAAGCCAATTAACTGATAAATTTGAGCAAATTAATTACTCGATATTTTTCGAAACGCCTCTCTTGCCGCGATTGTAACATCGAGCATCGCACATAGGTTTAAATTTCAATATCACGACAATAAAAAACAGCTCAATATTTATGAAGGCCAAACGCTTTTGAAAGCTGCATATACTTACCTGTAAGTATGCGGGATCGTTAGATGAACGACTGGTTATTTCACCTCTTGGTTGTTCATGAAGGGATCTACGTCCAATGTCAACATTACCAAATGCTAAATTGTGCAGGAGTGTTTGAAAGATAAAAGCAAGAACAGCGGTTTTGCAAAGCGTTTTGGCAATCGGATTACGGTACGCAATTTGGCAATGCTATATTTCGTCAATTAATTTTAACCAGGGAGCAGCGTGGCAGCGTCTTCAAACAACTTAGCATCAAATGTGGTGTAACAACTGCCTAAAATAGACAAAACACTTCTCGACGTTTCGACCTGAGGGGCTTCATCAGGAGAGTTAGTATGAAAATGAATAGGGGAGAATACATTATACATGTTTGTATGGGGGCAAAACACATGTAAAAATGTGCCAATAGAAAACCAAAAAATCAAAACAAATTGGAATACATTACGTTGCCAAAGAGAAGCCTGATGGTGGGCTAAGAGTAGCCCGCAATGAGGGAAGCCTGATAAGCAACGAAAATATGCAAAATATTTTTTGTTGATCGGGCTTCCCTCATTGCATTCCCTATTCTTAGCCCACAATCTTTGGCAACGTAATGTCTTCCAATTTATTTTGATTTTTTGAACGAAATATGTAATATCTTTTCGATATTTTGATCAGGCTTCCGTCATCACGTGTTTTGCTCCCATACAAAACATGTATTCTCCCCTATTTATTTTCATACTAACTCTCCTGATGAAGGCACTCAGGTTGAAACGTCGTGGTTGAAACGAAGTGTTTTGTCTATTTTAGACAGTTGCTATACCACATTTGATGCTAAGTCAATTGATTTTGTTTAATTATGTACCGGGTGGCGCAAAAAAAGTTAACCTGTTTGATTGAGCATAACTTAATTAAAGAGCTATTAAACTAAAGTTACGTTTTTTAAATTTTCTAATATCTAAATTAAATTTTGATATATAGCATAAGGTTTTTCATGCAGTTTTGACCGAGATATCGGGGGTTCAATTTAAGTATGCCTTTTCGTAAAGTGTAAAAAACTAAAAATGGCATTTAAAGTGAGTTGACAAATCCTAGTATTTTATCGCACGTATTCCTCTGTTTCAATGAAGTTTAAATAGAAACATTTGACAGATGGATGAGGTTTTTTTTTTTATTTTCTGTGTTACGGCATGCTGAAAAGCATTAAAACAAAAATTGGTTATTTAGGTTTAGACTTTGTTCCAAATATTTCATGTTCCATGTGGCACAAAATTCGTTCCGTAGCACACAAATTTAATTACTCTCATGAATTCTACTTGTTTTTTCTTAATATGCCTCGTTTAACGATACAACATTATTATCTTTTTTATTCAATATGCATTTTTGACTAAATTATTGCACATTTAAATGATATGTATTAAAAGTAAAACGCCGATATCTCGAAGAATACTGTATCAAAATACCCGTGATGTTTACCAAATTTTAAGTTACACATTCACGAATCTAAAGAAAGTTATTTTAGTGTAACAGGGCTTTTAGTTTTGAAGTTATACTCAATCAAACAGGTTAACTTTTTTTGCGCGGCTCGGTGTAGGCGGTAGGCCTCGTTAATTGCGTGATAATTTTAAGAGATTGAACACTCGAAATGTTCTTGTTCTGAAGGTGGCTGCCTAGGGTTATCGCCGCGATAGGGTTGTTGAATAAATTTGATTCCTAAACTCCATGAGTTCAATTGAACATTTTTTCCATTTTTTTTAGAGGAATTTTATTTAAACTCGTCAATCGGGGAGTAATTTTTTCATATACGTTTAACATACATTTTTCAGTAATGAACATGCAGATACATTATAAATTGATAGTAAAAGCATTCCTTTGACTTACTGTTTTTTTAATTTTGTGTTTTGGTTATACGGGTAAATAAAAGCAACCGCATTGAATGGCATTAGAATTTATTTATGGCCACGAGGCTATATAAATAATTCGAAATGATAGATACGATACCATTGGAAGTAGGATTTGGGTCCGTTGTGTTTGTTTTAGAATTCTTTTCATCACCATTGGTCCGTAGGGGAAGCTATAAAATTACAGTTATTATTATTAGACATTGCCCATCCAGGTGATAATTCAGGAGTGCTTTCACTGACGACTACAGTTTTTGTTTCCAAAGTCGAAATATTAGCTTTAAAGTGGTTTTTTTCTTGCGGTCCGAATTCATATTTAGAGTTTCCTGCAATCTGATTGGCTACGCAAGCGGTCCGTATGAGGCCGTACGGACCGCGCGAGATCTAAAAGCACAGTTTATTACTATACTTTATCGTGAAGTAGAGATTATAAAAGAATTAATAACAAAAAATACGCAGGGCTAATAATATAATGTTATAGGATGAGTCATGTCATAACTTTTTGCGGCGGACTCTTTACTTTGCAATCTTCAATTTTTAATCTCCGGAGTGTCCTACATCCTAGTTTGTGTCTAAAAGTCTATTGTAGCAAGTATTTTCAAAAATTTCATGGTTCTTATGATTTAACATTCGATTGTTAGCTAGCCATAATAATGGAACGATTTAATTAATAAGTGCATGGTATGCACTCCAACTTGCCAATTTGGAAAACTAACGGAAATCGAAAAGAAAGTACTGTTTGGAGGAGGCTCGAGCTCTTGGTTGTATTAGTTTTCTTACCTCTTCGTATGGATGATAGTCAGGTTCATTGCTGGTGTTGTCATCTCTTGGTATTTTAGAGCGTTCTAAAAAGTTAATTCATAGATGATTGGTCGATTGTTAGCAAGTTAATCAATTATATATTTTAAGGAGGAAACGGGGAACATTAACAGTGTTTTAATATTGCATATCCAGGGCGTTTGTATTTAAACCATCAACTACATTTTAAGTACTGATTAAACTAGAAATACATTGCATGCAAAGTCCCCTCGCCTGACGCAATAAACTTTAAACAATAAACAATATTTAAAGCTATAAACAATATTTCCATCACTGAAATTCTATGATACTCGTTTCTGCTGAATGATCGAAGTCGTAAAGTAAAATCCTATATCTTGGTGGAATTATAAAGTCGACTCTCGAGCTATCAAATTCGACTATAATATAATCATAATTGTGCTACGAATAGTTTTAAATACTACAATTCTTAGCGAAATTTCAATTACTTTTTAAACAAATTCACCTTTAAAAATAAATACTTTTCAAATCCAAATCATTTCAACGATATATTGACGAATAAATTCAAAGAGGGGTCATACATTTGTTGATAAATCCACATATTAAACTTTATACAAAACACTAATAAAATACCGAAATCTACCCATTTACGTGTTCAAAAACACTTTAAAAATGTTTCAAAATCGTAGATATTTCACCATCCATTAGAATGAAAATTTTTCTATCCAAAGGTATCTTTTACATTATATTTTAATCAATTTTACGAGTCAACTTTTCGTATATTTTTAAGACCATCCAAATGAAAAATATTATTTAAAAAAAGGTTTATAATTCAAAATATCAGTTATGCTGACGTGACCCAAATTTTAATTTAGCCAATCGCACGTTTGTAAACGTTTGCTAGTTACCAGTTTTAACTCGTCTTATACTCACGCATGCGCATAACTTACAAAAACGCCCAACGTCCATGACATAATGGCGGACAACTTTCATTTCGCATTTGCATTCCCGGGCGTAATTAAAATCTCCGGGCGGAATTAGTACCCTCGCCCCGGCTCGGGGATTATAGTTAACTAATTTCAATGTTTGCGATTACTTTGATCTAATGTCGGCACAAACAACTGTATTGTGAACATTTAATTACAGTGACAGTGACAGTGACGGTGACAACTCTCTCACTTACCGGCCATTTTATTTCTTAATTGTTCTTTTTTTCTGATGCACCCTGTATAACAATAAAGTTACATAATTAGATACATCACCTTCATCATTATTTTCAGCCATATAAGTGTGGTTTTGCATATAAGCATATATATAGGTGCATGGCAATGGTATTGTGTCATGAATTTTTACCAACTTTTAGTCTTTAACATGAAACTAGCTATAGCTTCTATAAATAGCTATAACAAATTAAAGCGAGAAGCAACACGTGTCAAGCTACCGAATTGAGTAATATACCGAGTACCAGCAAATTGACAAGTATAATATGATTTGTATTTTTGGTTCCGAAATTTGTTCGGGTTTTAATATTTGAGTAACATTTATATTAAGAAATAAAAAAGATGCAATATTAATCGGGTTTTATATAAAGTTTCTGCCTAATACAGTTTGGCACAAACCAGGGCCGTAGTTAGAAGCTGAGAATTAGGGGGTGTATATTCATATATTCATCTTATGGCCGACTGTTTTCTTTTGTACGCTATATTTCCTACGGTGTATACAGTGTGTATAAATGACATCCATGTTTTATTTCGAATGACATCCATGTTGTATTGCGTCATTCTGTTAAAAATGAACGAATATTGGTTTGACAAAAAAGTCAATAAAAATTACATTTTTCCGCGGATGGGAATTGGACATTTCTCTTTTCAAAATATAGTCAAACACGGCTTCAAAATGCTATAATTATCACTGAGCCCATATGCAGAAACGCAAATTTATCGCAAACTTCTTCTTGTGCAAAACAAGCGCTTCGTTCATTGAATTAAGTTTGCATTATTTTTTGTCTTTAGGTGTCACTTCGAATTCACATTAGCGGAAAATTTTGATTTCAAACAAGTAACAACCATTTTTAGCAGACTTATTTCTGGTCGTATTGATATACGAAAGATATGGTGTGAAAATGATATGAAAACCTAATAGGCTAGGCTCTTTATTGCCATAAAAAAATTATATCATATTCGAATTTTTTTATACACCCGGTATAAACATGAATACATAAATATACACCCATCCCCCTAATAAAGCGGTCTGTCTGCGGCCATGGCAAAAATATATGTACATATAAAAACAATAAGGGAAAGCATATTGATATCTGCCGATCTAGGAAACTTTGCCACTAGGTATGATGTGTAAACAACTTAAACATGTATGAATTACAGCTTTTAGTTTTTGCATTTATTTTTTAAAAAAAAATCTGTCAAGTATATCCGAAAAAATCAGGTGAATTCTCAAAGGTGGTGCATTATCAGAGAAAACAGTAACCAATTTTGAGCGCAATGAAAGTACATAATTATAAGGTAGACATAATATGTAACCTATATCGCAGACTAGAATGAAATTGGACACCTCGGTGACGGCTCCCTCTTGTCATGAACCATGAAACAAACCATATTGAAGTAATTGAATACACAATAATCAAGAATATCTTAGGCTTCATCTGTGGAAAATAGTGCAGATTAGTTCGAAGTACAGATTATTGCTTTCGCTCTAGTATCGGTTTCATAATGTGCAACTAATCGCCGGACAAATATAACGGTGTTGCACGTATCACGTCCGTAGAAAGCATCAGAAAGTCATACTATTATTGCGTAATGAAACATACCTGTGTTATATTAAACGATTTATCCAAACTCATATCACCACACATGTACGCATTCTAAGCAAATCATCAAAGGTTCTGCAAATAAAGTAAAGCAGCACAAACACGCATAAATTGCATTGCACAGACTTACGAATAAATGTTATGAAGCAACCACTGCGAGCCTTTGTGGTCACTCACTTCTTGCGAGCCAGTTAAACAATAGGCCCAGCCTGCTTTGCGCGCTTTGATAGCCCGCAATACCGGGCTTTAAGAAGCAGAAATCGGGTTGGATGCTAGATTAACTTCGGATTTTCGATTCAAGTTATTGTATCTGCGCTTCAGTGAATAATATACACACGAGTTCATTACTTAAAAAAACTTAGGAATACACAGCTATGAATTGAAGCTACACGTTTGAATAAATAAACCTACGCTTTTAAACTTTTTAAAGTCCACATCAGAGACGGCGAAAGATCCTTAATTGGGAGGGGGAGGCTAATATATTCATATATTCGTGTTTGCATTATTAGTTCTTTTCATATTGATTGTTTTACGGGCTTTTGACACGAATATATGAATATTAGCTACCAATATACATGAATTTTGAAATACAATAAAAAAGCCAGGTTTTGTGGCTTTCCGTTTTGACTATCCCAGAACCTTTGTTTTCTCGTAAGAGGAAATCGCTGGCTCGGGAACTAGATTGAAACCATAAGAACCGGCAAAAATCTGTGTGTTGTTGCCCGCGGGATACATTTTAACAATGCACTTTATAGCTTAATTCGTTATTGTTGAAAACATTACGAACAGTAACGGGGATACGATTTTAACTAGACAGGCTTATTCAGATGCTCAGCTATGTAGTTTTAACATACGTAATGCGCTTAATAAAACGTGTGAATAAAGCTCTAAACGGCAGATTAGGTATAACAAGTGATTATGCACTTTTTTATTTATTATTATATTTAGATTTTTAGATTTTTAAATTTGTATATTACGATTCGTCTTTCTTATAGATTTATTTGACTATCACTGTACTGATTTCTACTGAAGAAGGACGAAGTGGGAAACGTTTTATCATCAAATAAATGGAGAAGTGAGAAGTTGCCTGCTTTTTTGAATTCTTTGGAATATTTTTGGTTCCAGATTTTGAACACCAAACTGCTCATGCATCTTCCCAAGTAGCTAAGATTTAAGTCGAAGGTTTTCCTAATATAAACAGAGATTAATATGTGTGTTTCTCCATTATTAACTCATGGGGTACCTCAGGGGGCCTTTTTTTCGCCACTGCTCTTCTGTATATACTTAAACGATTTACCCGCTACATCCTACAATGGCAATCTGGAATCATATGTAGATGATACAAAGTTACTGTTATCGTTTCCTCTATCAGAAGTTGACAACGCTGTAAAAATCTTGGAACAAGATCTACATATGATCGCGACTTGGTGCTGCGAAAACAGTCTTCTGGTCAACCCAGACAAAACTAAATTTATGATTCTTGGAACAAGACAGTTGATAAGAGAACTCGATGTTAATATCTCGGTTCCTTTCATGGGAAAACTTTTAGAACCTGTTGATTGGGCGAAAGATCTAGGAATGTTGATGGACAAACACCTAAGTTATGACAAACATATCTCTAAAGTAGTATCATCTTGCCTCCACAAATTGTGCCAGATAAACCGAGTTAAAAACAACTTCGATAAGAGCACACTCACCATGATAATATCCTCGTTAGTGATCAATAAAATGTTATATTGCTCCACAGTGTGGTCAAATACAACAAATGCTAACATGAAGAAACTTCAATCGGTTCAAAATTTTGCAAGTAAAATAATCACAGGATCTAAGAAATATGATCATGTAACCCCATTACTTAAAGATCTGGAGTGGCTGACTGTCGACAAATTGCTCTATTTCCGTGATGCGGTTATGACTTATAAATGTATGAACACTTTAGCGCCAAAATACCTCTGTGATATGTTCGAGAAGAGAACTTCTATTCATAATAGGTCAACTAGGTATTGCAACTTAGTACAAATACCCCGGTTCAAAACAAGTACAGGTCAACGGTCATTTGCGTATAGAGGAGCTGTGATTTGGAACAACCTAGATAGTAAACTGAAGGAATGTACATCACTTAAGACTTTTAAAACTCATTTGAAAGATCATTTACTGTCATTTTAGCCTGTTTCGACATTGTAAATACTATTAGCTTTTTAACATTCTATTAAACATAGTTTAGTTTTAATTGTAAATTATCCAGTATAATATAATTATTTCTTAAATATTGTAAATAGGTTCTGAAAAACCCTTCTGGGAGAAACTATTAAAATTATCTATCTATCTATCTATTATCCATATTTTCAATCAAGTTATCAATCAAACCTTTGGCCAACCCCACACTTTTACCAAGGTCCTGATATCACACGTCTCGTCATTAGCAAACGTCTGCGAGTTCAACGCGCGAGACTGGGCTCGTCTAACCCACCAGTCCATCTGCAGCTCCAGATCGGCAACAGAAACAGGAATCCCACGACATTTGTCAATAAACCTCTTGATCCAAGCGCAAACTCTTAATGTTTTCTTCAAATCCCACCGGTCTAGCAGATCATCAAATTCATCTGTTTCGTTCATCATGACGTTGGCTATCGTCTCGCGAATAAACCTGCTCTCTGCGGCCGATTCCGCCGTAGGCTCTCTAGCAGGATTGATGGGCCGAGCGTTTGGACTAGACAACCACGGAGGGCCGTTCCACCACAAATCATTGTCCACCACTGACCCGCCACGACTTGCTAGGTCTACAGGATTCTCGGAGGAAGAAACGTACCGCCAGGCATCGATTCTGTGCTCGGTAATTTTCCGCACCCTATTTGCTACGAGCTGGCGATACTCCCCGGTTCCGCCTATCCAGTGTAATCGCGAAATAAGATCGTCACGTAGAGGTCTCGCGAGATTTGGTCAATTCGGTTTGGTAACCTAGGTTTCTAACCAGCCAAATGCTGCTCGATCACTTCGCCCAGCAGAAACGGGGAACATACCAAACCAAACCAAACAGTGCTCTGGTGAATCTTACCGTCACGATCTCGTCCGATGTAACATTTTTTAACCAGTGGAAACTGAGCGCATCTCGATCGTCTTCTTTGGCACGCATCTGGAGGAACGCCTTCTTAATTCATGTCAGCAACAAGAATCATGGGGCGGAATCTACCGCAAACAAGAACATCCCATAGTTTGTTTTGTAAAGATGGACCAGTTTCTAGGCAAGCGTTAAGCGATGGACTTCCTTTCTCGGCACTAGCGGAACAATCATACACAATACGCATCTTAGTGCTTTGGTTATCTCTGATGACAGCTCGATGAGGCATATAATACTCGCGACCTACGACTTTCAATGGCGTCTTTTCGACGATTCCTTTCTCGAGCTGCTCGTCAATTGCAATGCTACTGTTGTACTCTTCGATTTTACCAGTGTCTCGCAATCGTTTGACGACAGACCTCAGACGGCGAAGACTGGCGTTTCGGTTATCGGGAAGGGAAGGATGATTTTCTGTCTAAGGCAAACTGGTTTCGTACAACCCGGCATGGGGATCACGTGTAAGCTGCTCACGGAAGAGTTCGTTAAACCAAGAACGTCCAGGGCAGATAAACGTTCGTAGTCTGCCGAAGAATTGACCGGAGAAATCCGGGAACGTCATTGCTATCTAGCCCCGGGGCCATTATAACCAAGCCGAAGCGAGTGTGCTCGCTTGGCGATTGGCTCCTCTTGTCTACCGATACGAGATTTAACTGAGGTACGTATTTTGGCGTACTCGTTTGCACCCCCTCTATATCTCCCAGGTGGGCATAGTTCTTAATGAGCGTCGCTCATTGTGCAAGTTTTCTAGGTTTAGAAGCCCAACTTTCTCTATTTTCGTGACACGTGCATATAGACCAAAGTTTCCTTTTACTGATTCGAAGCGGATATCATACTGTGAAACTTTGAAGTGGAAGTACCCATTACAGTAGCGATTCGTCGCGTTTCCCTTTTGACTTCACTTGCTTGCGTGAAATCGACTAACTTGGCGGAAACGTACGAGTGACTGGCGCTGCTATCTACAATGCACGGAATTTTATGCCGCCCACTTTAACCACCACGATTGGGTGAACAACTGGGTCAGATTTTGCGTATCGACGTTAGATGTCATAGCCGGTTCATCCTCTTTTTCGGTCTTGTGGACATATGAATGCATGTTACCTTTTCTTGCATTTTTGCATGGCAGGAAATTTACTTTGCATGCACTGACAACGTGCTGCCCGCGGCGCAGTTAAAACATATTTATTATCACCAAATATTTCTTGCGTGCTTCGGGTGATGAATTTCTGTCACATTGCGTAACTTTGTGATCATTTAATCTTTTTGTCACAACACAATACAATTATTACGCATATACATGTATATTTACACCTCGGAGAGGTGAGGAAAAGACAGCCCTGTGTCTTAATTTTTTTTTCAAGTCACATATTTTCAATGTACCGTATATTTCGCAAAGTTGCAAAAGGTTTTCCCATGCATTTTTTTGTCGCTATGAATGAGCAGAAAAACAAGTGGTTTTAAGCAGGTAAATATCTTGCTCTCGTGACACTTTAAAAACCTTAATTCCGAAAGACGGCCGTGTTCAATAATTCACTTCAATAATTAACCTTTCATTGGACTTACTTTATAGCACTATGGGCATTTAGGCATCCAATGCTTATTGTAGTTTAAATTAATTTGGGAATTCTTTAATTATGAGGCCTATATCAACAAGGAGGAGTTTCCTTTTGAACAGTTTATTGATTGGCAATTTATTTTTCAAGCAAAACAAATCAATGACTAAATTTTGAATACTTCATGCAAAATGATAGATAATAAATAGTACACCTTGCTTGCAGATTGTTTGATATATTAACATTGTTATGGTGCGAAAAACCTAATTATAATTTTTGAAATGTCATTCAGCAATCACCCGTATAGTATTCCAGCTATATTCCTGCATTTTCATATTTGATGATTTAGCTTTACAGACAGGGGCACTATATTTTAAAGTCGAGATCGAGTGTATAGCGCGATAATTGTTTAGTCGTAAATGCGAAAATCACAAACTAAATCGGCGTTCCCTTGCATATCAACATATAAACTTCTCAAGAGTCGTCACTGTCAGTGAGTGAGCTCGAATGGGTGAGTGAGTGATGAGATTGATACATTTATTTCATTTGTAACTGCATGTGTAATATAGTATTTATCATCCATAAATAGTCATAGAGAAATTAAATTAGCGAGTTCTAGGAATTACTACGACTTGAGACGCTGTTTGTTGTTCACTTAAGCCATCATGCAAACCTTCATTCACGATTTCATTATCAATTTCGATGTCAAAAGCTCAAACTATAACTTTTGTGAAACAGGTAAACAACAGCAAGAACACTGGCACAAAAGGACAAATTCCGTACTTATAAATTCCGTCATTGCACGCTGAGGCTCACGACATATACATATATAAAATTATGTGAATTTCTAAACAAGCCACATTCAAAACGTATATACACTTTATCAAAGAACTGAAAGAAGTAAAGATTACTTACCAACGCGATTTCGTTTTCAGTACTACATACATCACGAATTGATTAATGTCATTCAGCGATATATTTTTTCTTTTTAGTAAACAGCAGTTTTCCTAATTCCGTGTATCAGCACTCATGTATTGACGAACTATAATCACCTCGATCAATTCAAAGAAATCTCAAAATGAAACTAAAATTGCAAAATAACAGGAACTTCATAAATATTAAATGCGACCGAGATGGTTACCTTAGAGACGCCATTCGACCGTAACATATAGCTAACAACAATCCATATGCAACAATTATGCAACAATGTGGGATAAGAGGCCAATGGTATGGAATAATAATAACTGTAATCAAACGTTGGCTAGATTTACAGTGTTATTTCCCTATTACAGAATACATTTACAATTCACTCTCAGCCAAAAACATTGAAAATAAACCGGCTGTTAATTTATAAAAAAGATAGGGCTACTCATACTTCATGCTTCATGTCCATCAGACGCAAACTTTTTGCACTTTCTCAGTCTAGTAAATAAGTAATGTCACTTTCTGGCATTCTCGCCTTCCAATCGTGGTACAGGGAGTTTATTGCTTCGTTCAACGGAAATCCTAAGATCACGGAAGCCAGGAGGCGACAGGAATAAAATTACCTTCATGTCTTACTTTCCGTGTTCCATGCTCTATATAGACTATATACTTTATGTTTTGTCGATAGGCTTATTCTATTGTTTCATTGTTCTATTGTTCTATTGTATTGTTCTCTATACTATGCTAAACTTGTCGCTTTTCTTGGCAAACTAAAATTCTCACTCCCCTTGATTTCACCGTGCACGATAACTCAAAAAGTAATAAAGCTAACTTGATAAAATTTTCGTTGTCGACTTTAAAGACAATTGGCTCGGGGGTGAACTAAAAGTTTTCTATTCCGTTCAGTCGAAGTAAAATAGCGACTGAATATATCAGATATTTATAGCCTGTAAAACGTTTAATGCTGGAGAAGTTTCGTTTATTCTAGTTCAGCTCCGACGCAAAAATATTTAGAACAAAATAAAACCAATTCCGTCGTTCTAGAGTTAAAACCTAGTTCGTTATATCGTGCTTACAAAAATCGTCTATTTTCCACCATTGGGTGTGTCTGGTCTGGTTAACTATAGTGATGGAAGATTCCTACAAGTCTTTTTTTCACTCAGAGCAACTTGGCTTGCAACATGGCATGAACAGATTTTTATATTTTTCAAAATTAAAGAAAAAAGTTTTTCAGTAGTGGCCACTTTAGCATGTTGATCCGTTATAATTTGCATTTCACTCTGTGTAAAATATATATTATATGGTTGGCAGACTCTCCCTGTATACAAACAATATATTGAAAAACCTAAATTCCTTTGTAAAACACCTTACACTACACTGGACTTATTTGCACGGCCTTGCTACATTTAGCCTGCATGGCAGGCGTTTCTTAAAATCGGGCAAAGCGACGACGGCGAAAGACCACCTGCTGTGTTTGGCTATGTATTTTAAAACTCTGTCAACTGGTGGACGGGAATTGATGATTGGATGCGAGCCTAAGCCGCTGCCAATCAAAAGTAAATGTTTTTAATTGTAACGTTCAAATATATACATTTTCCACGCGTCTAGTCTAAATAATTTTCGAAAGTCGAAACACGAACTAATTCTTAACGATATGACTTTTTTAATGGCCAAAAAATTAGGACAACTGTCTTGATAGTGCTTACCTATTTACATTGGGAATTTCTATTGGGGCCTAGGATTCTCATTAATTATATTATTTTCAATATATTATCTTCAATTCCTGGAAAGTCATATACCGCGTATTTATAAATATATAAATATATAAAGAATAGATGATATACAAATTCTTCGACTATATATAAAACAGACATCTATTCTGTTGCCTCATAACAAACGACAGTGGTCATGTCCTGGTTTAGACTTTTTTTGTGTTCCTTTAGACATCTTAAATAATTATATATTGCAACTTCGAGAACCAGACTTCGATTGATAAATAAACTTACAGCAGTTCGGCGTTGGTTTCTATCGGTTTTTTTTGGTTTTTTTCTAAAATATATCCCATCTCCCAATTCTCCACGTGGCATAAACATATTAAAGTCAGATTTTATATCATCCACTTCGAATTTCTATAGGACGGGAAGTATGTCATCCTCGACAATAGATTTTCATCCAATTCACCTGTAGAATAGCATTCAATTTAGCCTAGCTAGGGTCTAAAAACACACGCAAAACTCGGAATTTCCCCAAAAGACTGTAAAATCTTTCATGATGGATGTCCTGGGCATTTACGGAAAATACCAAAATTTAAAATTTTCTAGAGAAGAGGAACATGTATAGAAGGTCATGTTGTTTGAGTTGTAAATATTTAAAATATTTTTTATCCACATTTGTAAAGTAGAAATATTGATAATAAAAATTTTCTGCAGGTGCAAAATTTGACTGTCATCATACATAAAAATGTGTATGTCAATTTTGTGTTCCCGACAGGGTACTCAGGCATTTAACTCCAACTATTATATTGTTAATAATATACGAGGAAATGTTCTCGACCCTGATTGGTTGATTTCAGTGCATTTAAATCCCAAACAATAGTGCAAAAATATGTAACAACCGTGCAAATTTCTGTAACAACAGTGCAAAATCCTGTTACAAATATATCTGCCGATTTGCAGAAAAAAATGAAATTACCCAATCAAAACGTAGCAAAATGCCCGTGCAAAGACAAAGTTCAAAAACTTTTAAAAGAAATAAACATGGCCGGCGCTAGCGGTGGGCAAAGATTCCCCAATCTCGAACAGTCTTCAATACTGGAGCTACAAAAACTGCAAAAAACAAAAATACAGCCAGCAGCACTAAATATTGGTTAAATGTGTTTAAGAGCTGGGCAAGGCAACAAGGTTTTAACGAGCAAATCGATACGTACGAAGTAAAAGAGTTCGACACGGTTCTTTAGAAATTTCATATAATAATGGATGATATAATTAATTTATTGTCTCGAGGATTTCCCAGTGAACTCTAATAAATCTGGAACGATAACTCAGGGGGGAAATTGAAGCCGACTTTGTGCTCAGTTAGCAGGTAGACCCAGTCCAGATAAAATTTTCATATTAAATCTTGCACTAGCTTCGTATAATATACGTAAACCCGAAGAATGATGACTGAATTTCTTAAATATGTAATCAGATTTAACAAAAAAGCTGCCGTAACGAAATGATATTGAAGTAAAAACGAAAATGACAAAAAATTCGCGCTTTTTTTTTCCGATTCAGTTTCTGAGTTTTTGAGAGTTTGAGGTACACCTAGATCTTTAAACCACTAAAATGGTGAAGATTGTTCTTAAATACACCTATTTTCTTAGTTTCGGAAAAATTGGGCCCTTTTGGGGAGAAAAAAACGAAGTTTAAAAACAAAGTATTTCTTATCATAATTTTATATATATATATATATAACATATGTAAAACAATGTGCCCTCCCGGCTGTCACCAGAGCGCAATGGTGACTCCTGCACTTGGGACACAGGACGTACGGTTACACATTGTTGGAATTGAATAGTAGAGTCAGCAGAGCGCTCAAACTTAAACAAGCGAGCGTAGCATAAAGCTTACGGTGAACGTCTCGCGATGAGACTCTCCACACAATATATATATATATATATATATATATATATATATATTAATATATATATATATATATATATATATATATATATATATATATACACCCATGCATTTGCAAAAACGTTGGCCGCAGATAGATAGATAGATAGATAGAGACATCTTGGTATTAATCTGTGGCTATACTAATTGTATCAATTAAATGGTCAAAATTTTTTGCGATCGTAAAATTTTAATTTTGCGAAAGGAAATATGGAAAAAAATTTCGATGATGATCAAAAGCAACTTTAAACGAGAGCAGTCAACATGCAGGGTTAACAGCAAGCTAGCTGCCAAAAAAGCTAATTTCATCGTTAATATATGTTCATATTCAGTGGCGTAGCCAGCCTGACAATTTACTTATGCTATGCTAATATTTTGGTGTTCATTGACTGCAAAAATAATGAATTTCTAAACTGTTCATATTTCGTACTGTAATAGCTCCATTCCATTGAATTTGAATCTTTAATTTGAAGCTAAACTAACTCAATATTTAGCCGTTTCGCGTTGTTATATATGTAAATAGTTGTCTTGCGGCGGGCAGAATTATAGTTTTAAAAAAAATTACGTATCTACCTTTTGCAAATAATTTATCTAGAGAAATCAATTTCAGTTATAAGTTTAACTGGCTAAAAAGAATCGATATAATTTAGTGATGAATTGGTTGAGTTTAAATAAAGCCCTCATTTGAAGGCATGCAGTATGTGCATAACAAATTAATTGGATTTCTATAACTGCATGAGCGAAAGGTACTCTTACATGTTTTTCCGTAGTAATATATATAAGTCATCATTGACTTGCCGAAATGACTAATTCGATTACCAAAACTTCTAAAATGGCTGCTCTTTGATGAATAGTGTGCTCTTTGATGAATAGTATGAATAGCGGCATAGTGTGCTGAAAGTTAATGATATTCCACTAAAAATATTTTATAGTAGCTCAGTAACATTCGAAGCCATGTATCGTATTATATAGATAAAATAAGCTGTATTATAAATTACTTGCATGATTTAATTCGGCTTTCGCTAAAATGGTCTACCAGTTCGAATTCAGGAAAGTAAAAGCTAATAGAATTTAAGGAAGAATTCCAGACAAAAACCTGGTCGCGCGCACCTTTGGCATTGTGAAATGCAAGATGTTGCATTTTCTAAAGTGACAAGTTCGGTTTAAAGATTTATACCTTTTAAAGATTTATTAGAAAAAAGGACACTGGCAGTCATGAGACTGAATTATGTGTCTTTTACATAAAAATATATACGATAATTTAAAATACATAATGAAATAAGAAACAATATATATTTACAACTTTTTAGTCCTTTTTAGTCAAAGTCACAATTATGCGTTCTTTAGAATAGATATATACAATCATTTAAAATTGGAAACAATACATATATATATACAACATATACAACTTGTTATCAATTAGCAAAATTTGCTTCAGTACTAAAACTCATTATAAAAGAGTT